CTCTCAACATTTCTGCCTGAGCGCGCTCAACTCTTTCTCTACACCGTTATATTTGTGCCACAAAACCAGCCAATCACAGACTTGGATGCAAAAAAAATCTGATTGGCTGTTTTGGTCTCCAATCAGCTCGAAATGACGAAATGCAATATCCCAGAATCCATTTCGTCCAAAACTCAAATGTCGCCAGATTTGAAAATATTTAAATGTCACCTCAGCCCTCTGTTGTGTTAGACTGGGGATGAAGATTCACAGTGAGCAGAACCACTTTTGGTGATTTGCTGCCACCTGCTGTCTGCTTTCTGTGAGTCATGTGAGCCATGTGATTAAAAAAAAACAAAAGGATGCTAAAGCCAGACTGACTCTGGTTTGATAAACCTTTGGAAAATGTGAGAAAATGCATGCAAGCTACCATCTTAATTCAACTTCACACCTCAAAGAAAGCTTAGAGGAACATTTCAAAGAAAATCAAACATCTCTGCATCATTTTTCTGCCTTTGAGAAACGTTAAGTGCTGTTTAAATGATTCAGTGTAAATGAAATTTAAATCTAAAACAGCTAAACATTGCTGCCTATCTCAGCTGTCAGAGGTTGAGAAGTGGGATACACTGTGGATAGGTCCCCAGTCTGTCACAGAGCAAACACAGAGCTATTCATGTTCATTTATAAGATCAATTAGAAATGATCTGATAACATGAGCCCTGGACTGAGACAGGAAGCCAGAGTGTCCGCAGAGAACCTGTGCAGGCACTGCGAGAACATGCAAACGCCACACAACTTTCCTGGCCTTCATATATTATATTATACTAATACTAATACTAGCATCATTATAATATTATGTTATTATTATGTTAGTTATCATCAGTGTTTGTGTTAATGGTGGAGGGGGTAACACTATGCAATATATTCAGTTTTAGAATTTATATTCAATGTTAACTGTAACTACGCTCAAAGTGTTAATGCTGTCTCATTTTAATAAACATCACTGTCATATAAACGAAACTAGGCTGGCACTTTGGGTGGCAACATGCACTTTGGTGCATGTTGTCAGAGAGAGATGGTGTGACTGAATGTGAGATCATCTAAGAAGAAAAGTGACAACACATCAAGTAGGTAATAAGCAGACATCCTGTTTGAAAAGACCAAATAACTAGATCAGATAAGTCTGTGTGGTGCACTTTGCAACTTTTTAGCAGGGAAGACAAACAGGAAATAAGTCAGAGCGCTGTTTAACAGTTTGGTTAGTGTGTGTTTCCTCATTTAGGTGATTTTATTAAACTGAGAGGACATAACAACTTGAGCAGCTTTTCCTGATCACTGAAAACTGGTGAAATACAGGTGAGTATTTTTATTCTTTTGTACTGGTGATTACATTGTTAATTCAATAGACCACTTTTAGCAGCTCCTGATATAGAGAACAGAAACACTCAATATTCTCTCCACACAGCCTCAGCGCCACAGCTCGCTTCTATCAGTGTTCGTGAAACGTATTACTGACTAACATCGAGGGCATGCTGGTGCCATCTGGCCTAATAATCAACCTTACACTTGTTTGGGGGGTTCATTGTGAACAATCTGTGATGAATATATCGTTATATTCAGTGTTGTATATTCATACATTCCAATCTAAAATTCGATGAAAGTATTTTCGCAGTTTTATTACAGTTAATAAGACTATGAAGTTGCATCCTCTCAACAATGTACATCAGTGGATTTATTTTCTCCAGAAACATGGGTGACTCAACAAATGCGACGTCATCTCCCAACCTCCCACCCTGTGATGTTGTCAGGACACCAGTCCATGCTTTCTTTGTGGTGGTCTACAGTCTGTTGTTTCTGGTAAGTTTCAGATTTTCAGATGTGCTCAAGACATGAAACTTCAGCACACCTGCTCTGTTACAAATTGGTTTAAGGTTCTCTGTGCATCTACCAAAATCCTTCCCCATCCTTTCTGCACCACATTCAGGTGGGTTTACCCCTCAATGGCTTCATCATGAAGTTTTACTGTTGTCGGGCTCAGCAGCAGGCATCGAGCAGCTTGATGGTCTACCTGAAGAACCTGACAGCTGCTGACTTCCTGCTTTGCCTCGCTCTGCCACTGCGCATCTCCCACTATGCCAGCAGCTCTCCTGTTGGCCAGGAGCTCTACTGCAGCTTTGGAGCTTCTGCCTTGTACCTCAACATGTACGCCAGCATCATATTCATGGGGTACATCGCTGCCAACAGGTACAGAACCATTAGTAATTTAAACTGCAGTTCATAACCATGTTAAAACTGTGATTAATGGGTTACCTACACACATCGTCTCTTTTCAGATTATTAATGACTTCT